ATGGCAGTCTCCCTGCTGGTGCTGTGGGCGTGCCTGTGCGCCGTGTGGGCGTGTCCTCGCGAGTGCCGCTGCTCCCTGGACGAGCGCGGGCGGCGCGGCGTGCGGTGCGAGGGCGGCGGCATGCGCGACCCCGTGCCCGTGATGGACATGGGCTCCGACACCGAGCTGCTGGTGATCGCGGCGCCGAAGGAGAAGCCCAACGCCCTGTCGCTTGGGCCCATCTTCCGCGGGCTGCGCCACCTGGAGGAGATCCACATCACGTGGTCGGGGGTGCCGGCCCTCGGCGCGCACTCCTTCTGGGGCCTCCACCGCCTGCACGTCCTCAACTTCACCAACAACCACATCTCCGCCCTCATGGACACCAACTTCCGCGGCGCCGACGCCCTGCGGCACCTGGACCTGAGCCACAACCGCATCCAGAGCGTGCCGTCCGCCGTGTTCCGCCACGTGCGCCACCTGCGGACCCTGTCGCTGGCCCACAACATGGTGCCGGAGCTCGTGCCGCGGATCTTCTTCGGCCTCACCAAGCTGGAGAAGCTGGACCTGAGCTACAACCCCCTCGGCGACCTCCAGCCCGAGAGGTTCACCGACGTGCCCGACCTGCGGCAGCTGTCCTGCGCCGGCTGCAGCCTCATGTCCATCAGCAGCACCCTCCTGCAGTCGCTGTCGCAGCTGCGGGAGCTGGACCTGCGCAACAACCGCCTGACGCAGGTCCCCCTCGGCGTGGCGTCCGCTGCCTTACCCAACCTGGTCAGCCTCAAGCTGGACGGCAACCACCTGTCCTTCGTGGAGCGCGGCGCCATCTCCGGCTCGCCGCTCGTCAGCCTCCACCTGGCGCACAACCGCATCAGCCGCCTCGAGGTCGACGCCTTCTCCAACAGCTCCATCAAGCACCTGGACTTGTCCTACAACCGCATCTCGCACCTCGAGCCCGGCGCCCTCGAGGACATCCTCGACCAGCTGCACGAGATCAAGCTCTCGGGCAACTCGCTGCACGTGGACCAGCTGATGAGCGTGCTGCCCAATGCGCGCCAGCTGCGCTACCTGGGCCTGGGCGACATGGGCCACACCAAGCTGCCGGCCGAGCTGCTCCGCCACTCGCGCCACCTCCACCACCTCAACCTCTCGGCCAACTACCTGACGGCGCTGTCCACCGAGGTGCTGTACAACGCCCCGCACTTGTACACCCTCGACCTCTCGCTCAACAGCTTCCGCGGGCTGGAGGAGCAGCTGGTGGAGTCCATCACGGCCGCCTCCGAGCTGCGCACGCTCCGCCTGGAGGGCAACCCGTGGCAGTGCGACCAGTGCCACGTGGGGCCTCTGCTGCGCTGGCTGCAGGACGCGCCCGACCAGGAGTCCGGCTGCGACGAGCCGAGGGTGTGGACCTGCCTCAAGTGCGTCAGCCCGCGGAGCGTGGCCGGCCTGCAGCTCGCCCTCCTGCCGCCCGGAGACTTACCACCCTGTCCCTTCACCACGCCCCCCGCGGCCGCCGTCTGGCCGACGTGGGTCGAGCCCTCCTACAGCGTCGTCACGGACGAGCCGGAGTTCCCTCGGGGGGAGCTCAGTCGGCAGGAGGACGCTGAGGGCGGCTGGTCACTTCAGCGCCTGATAGAGGAAGAGCTGTACTTGGTCATCGTGGTCGGCTGCGTGGTCGTGCTGCTGCTGCTCGCCCTCATCGTGGTCGCCGTCGTCCTGTACAACCGCCACTCCGCCTTCTACTACACGTACGAGGACGACCCCGAGAAGAAGGAGAAGCTGATGAAGGCGAAGGACAGCAAGAACAACAACGGCCCGGCCACGAAGACCCCGGCCAAGGGCGCCGTCGACGCCACCATCGCCACCATCGACGAGATGACGGACATCGCCGGCTCGCAGGAGGTGCTCGAGGCCAGCCAGATCCGCAAGGGCGCCCTCACCAGCTCGCCCGCACTCAACCACTCGCCGGTCGCCAACCACTCGCCAGGGACCAACCACTCGCCCGCAGTCACCGCCTCTCCTGTCGCCAACCACAACCACTCGCAGAGCAACTCGCCGGCGCCCACGCAGAACAACGCCCACCCTCAGAACCACTCGACGCCCACCCACAACGGCCGCACGCCCACCCAGTCTCCAGTCCCCAACGTCGTCCAAGAGGCGGAGGGGCGAGCCGAGAGCCCGACGCTCTAGTAGAGTGGCCGCTGTAGAGAAGTTTCCTTTCGTATCTTTTTTTTCTGACAAATTACTTCAGAGTCTTAAGGAGAGGTGGCCACGGGAACGGTCGAGCTGGCATACTAAACACGCGAAAGCATATACACACACGCAAACAAAACAAACAACCACACACACACACATACAGACACACACACACACACACACACACACACACACACACACACACACACACACACACACACACACACACACACACACACACACACAAACAATCAAACAAACACACAAGCAAACAAACACACACAAACAGCCACAATTTCAGTAATAAACAAACTATTAAACACTTATACATGTACAGTATATATTTTGTATGGACGTGTATCTAAAACTGGTTGTACGGCTGTGACAGAAATGAAAGCACGAAGTTACATAGTGTTTTCACAATGACTGGTGGTTGGGGGGCGTGGCTTAGGTCACGTGACTTTCCGAAGGCGTTACTCGGAGGCGTTGCATCAGTGTCGAGTCTACGTCCCTGGGTGATTGTGTATTGTAGAGATAAGAGAAGAAAAAAAAAAACTGTTGCAGAGACATTGAAAAGAAGTTAAATAAGTGACCTAGGGAGACAGACAAAGAGAAAGATTTGAACGAATGGCTCAGAATATTTATTTAGCAAGACGAATACTACACAGAAAAAAAAATATATATATATGATTTCCCCAAGACTTCGATGTATTCCATAAAAGATCAAGACAAAGTTAAAAAAAATAAAAAAGATGTAAAGATTTTATGTGTGAAAGAACTATATAACCATTCTGTTTTTATGTGATGCCTCCTGCTCTCTCTACTTCCCCATTACGAACTCTGCATATCAAGCTTTCGTTATTCCTGTTACGTACGTTACGGACAGGGGTCGTCGTTATTCCTGTCACGTACGTTACGGACAGGGGTCGTCGTTATTCCTGTCACGTACGTTACGGACAGGGGTGGTCGTTATTCCTGTCACGTACGTTACGGACAGGGGTGGTCGTTATTCCTGTCACGTACGTTACGGACAGGGGTGGTCGTTATTCCTGTCACGTACGTTACGGACAGGGGTCGTCGTTATTCCTGTCACGTACGTTACGGACAGGGGTCGTCGTTATTCCTGTCACGTATGTTATGGATCAGGTCACCGTTATTCCTGTTGCGTACTATATGGACAGGGGCCACCGTTATCCTTGTTACGGACAGGGTCAACGTTTTTCCTGTTACGTACGTTACGGACCAGGTCATCGTTTCTCCTGCCTCGTACGTTATGGACCAGGTCATTCCTGTTATTCCTGTTACGTACGTTACAAAACAGGGGTGATTCCCAACCAGCGTGACGTCACTGTGCTGAGCTGAGCCGTAACACCATAGACACACAAGTTAGTCTTCCAAAGAGAGAACTCCTGCTCTTACCTTCTTCAAGAAATTCCAGGAAAAAAGGAGGAAAATAAATCGATGTATTGGACCGGCAGTAGCTTCTCGAAAATATACCTTTTTTTCTCTCTCTCTCACGAGGAAAAAAAATAAATAAAAAAGGAAGAAAAGAAATGGAAAGTTCTGATCAACAAGTGACTCATGCTCACTGACTTAATTTTTTTTTTTGAATATAATGATATCAAAAGATTTCAGAAAGGCCTTTTATGCGCAAGTTCTGCCGTTCCTATTGTCTAGTGTTTGTGATTTATGAAGGATTTTTGTATATTGCAGCAAAAGATAATAATAATAATAATAATAAAAAATAATTTGATATTTTTTCACGTGCTCATGAGAGAGATTAAATATCTGATAAGACAAGAGTCCTTTTCGACTGCCTCCTTTAATTACATGCTCTTTCATCTTTTTCTCGATAAACATGAAGTAATTAAAAGCTGTAACAAAGAATAAATTTTTTTTTTCTTTCGTTAATATTCTTGAATGCTTTGAAATTCTTCAAACTTCTGTTAATTTCTCCAAGTAAATCGCTCTTTCGAAAGAAAAAGAAAATAAATGTAACTTAAATCTCAAATCAGTCTTCAACCTTTAATCCGATTTTTAATGCAACTTTCGAAAACTGGACAAAAAGTCGCAAAAGGACTTTTCAATTAAAAAGATTGTTTGGTATTTGCCTATATGAAAAAAACAAACAAACAAACAAACAATAAACCCTTCTTCATCCTGCAGCATATTCTGTATTTGTTGTACTAGTCACTAATTTGTTTTATTCCTTTACCATATATGTATGATATATATACACACACATGAGACATTAAGTGTTCATATGAAAATATTTCCCAGTGATTCTAAAATCTACGCCATTAAGACTTACGTTCTACCCCGTGGCATTCATAACTGAGATTAAAAAGGAGTGTGAACTTATATTCGTAAGGAAAAAAAAAGTATATCAAAGCTATAACTTGGATTTGAAACAAAAAAACAAACAAACATTAAAAGGGAAAAAAAAGAAATGAGTTAAAAGGATTTAATCGTTTCTAAACTGAAATAAAGGAAATTGCGTGTACGTGCTATATGCATAGACAATTAAATCTGCTCTAGTCTCTTTTATGAATGTTTTTCCCTTTTTGTATAATGAGTTTGAAATATTATTTCGATAAGTATATTATTTTTTAACACTGTGTTTTCTTTTCTCTTCGTTCACAATACTTTCCTTTATCTCCTTCCTTGTATTTTCTTTTTTTATTCTTCTTTATTCTGTGTATATAAGGCATGTAAGTGTGCATAGCTTATTTGATGCTTATTGTAAATGTACAAATTTTATACTACTCAAGAATAATAAATTAAATAAAGTCATACTGGACTGAGTATCATTTAATCCCAAACACTCT